CTCCAGGCTTAAAGTTAGATGGCTAGGGAATTCTGGGAGTTGAAGTCCTCCAGGCTTAAAGTTAGCTAGCTGGGGAATTCTAGGAGTTGAAGTTCTCCAGGCTTAAAGTTAGATGGCTAGGGAATTCTGGGAGTTGAAGTCCTCCAGGCTTAAAGTTAGCTAGCTGGGGAATTCTAGGAGTTGAAGTTCTCCAGGCTTAAAGTTAGATGGCTAGGGAATTCTGGGAGTTGAAGTCCTCCAGGCTTAAAGTTGCCAAGATTGGAGACCCCTGCTCCAAAGCACTAAAGAGCAGGCCAGGCAATAGGTGTAGTAAGCTCATCAGAGGGAGATTAGCACAGATGCTGTAGCTGCTGCTCATTTTATGCATAGATCAGTTCACTGGGAAATGCCTTTCACGACTCAGGAAGGAGCAAAACAAAAAGAAAACAGAAATCAGAACAAAACAAAATCAGAAATTGTTCTGTTGGCTTAAACACTTTGTTGACTTGTAAGTGGCTCCGGGAAAACTCATCGCTGCAACCACAGCAAACTCTCTGAGTGTAGTTTCTCCTTCTTCGCCATTTGGGGCATCGTTTTAGAAAACTGCTTTTTGCTGGCTCTTTATTAATTTATTTATTTTGGAAACTCCCGAGCTGAGAGATCACTTTCGTTTCTCCTGGTTGCTGGAGCTGCTTCTCCACAATCACGAGGACGCACACAAAGGGGAGGAGGAGGCGCTAAATTGGGTAACTTAGAAAGGGAGAGCAGAATCCTCTTAAAGAGACAGCCGGAATTTCTGTGTCTCTCAGCTTTCAACCAACATGGGTGGCTTGCTAACATGCCGTCAGTGTTCCACACGCATGGAGAGTCTAAAGGACCACAGTTTCTGGGACCTCACTAGGACAGGGGTGAAAAACTGCTTTTGGTTCATCCTTGTCACTTTCATTGTACTTACTTTATTATGGATCATTCTCTACTCACGGGCCCCACCAGAGCCAGGCAGGATATGCCCTAAAGACCAAGCCAATTTGCTTCACAACATCTCCCAAATGGAGGCAGAAAAAGTGACTCTGAGGAAGCAACTGATCGAGATGGAAAAGGAGATGCAGAAGCTCAGGAATGTTACGAACCGGACTCAAGGAAAGAGTTTGCAACTTTTGGAAAAGAAGCAAGAAGAAGTGGATGCCCTGAGCAAGGAATTATCGGGGTACAAGCAATCCTTTGTACTAACCAGACAGCTCCTGGAGAAGGAAAAGGAGAAAGGCCAAAGTTTGCAGAGTGAATTGCAGAGTGCAAAGGAGGACCTCCAAAAGATTCAGCAGCAGAGAGATTCCTGGCAGAAAGAGCTGGTAAATAGGGAAGGGGGGGGGGGATATATTCATTGTAAAGTAAGATTAGATTTAAAAAACATAGAAAAAATGTTGTTGTTAGTTGCGAAGTTGTGTCTGACCCATTGTGACCCCATGGACAACGTTCCTCCAGGCCCTCCTGTCCTCACCATCCTTTGGAATCCATTCAAGCTCACGCCTGCTGCTTCAGTGACTCCATCCAGCCACCTCATTCTCTGTCGTCCCCTTCTTCTTTTGCCCTCAGTCTTTCCCAGCATCAGCCTCTTCTCCAGTGAGTCCTCCCTTCTCATTAGGTGGCTAAAGTATTTCAGTTTCTGGCCTTCTAAAGAGCAATCAGGGTTGATCTCCTCTAGGACTGACCGGTTTGATTGCCTTGCAGTCCAAGGGACTCGCTGGAGTCTTCTCCAGCACCAGAGTTCAAAGGCCTCAATTCTTTGGCAACTTTAAGCCTGGAGG